TCCATGGCCAGACGCCGAGGCGCGTGTATCCTATTCCGGGTTGTGCATATGCGGACGCGGACGAAACTATCCTTGCGGCCATTGCGCTTGCTTAGCTAAAAGCTGACGCAATTATATCTGTTCCGACGTGGAACTATACCACAACCCGGATCTTGGATGACAAGAGAGACGACTGGAAAATAGGACTTAGTAAATTTCTTCTGGAGACAACCAAAACCGCGCGTCAAGGTCTTAAAAAAAGCTATACGCAGCGACGGCGTCTTTCATATGTCCGATTGGATAATGCTCTCCTGGTGGCGCGTACACCTAATACCTCACCTTCGGGAGATCATAACGTTGCGACCAGCCTAGCACTCCCGATACTTCAGCGAAACTTTGGCGCACTGTGTCCGAGTGTTGACGCTTATGGCAACGGACATATAACGAAATCCTTCTCGTTCAGCACACGTACACGTCTGGAGAAACTTCCCGACGTTTTTACGCCGGGTTTCGACTTAGTTTTAAGACAACACCATCGTGTCTCTTTGAGGAAAAACAACATCCGGGCCGAATCGGCCCTATGAATTGGCTGATAAAATGGCCGTTGGCTGTTAGCGTATCATGAATCATTTTTTTGCCTGTCCCGAAGCTACCCCTGCTTTCCTTTTCCGGGCCACCCGTCAGCTACGAAATGATGACTCTACCGTGACATTGGAAATATCTTCCGACGATGCAAGTGCGGCTTTGAAGAGGCTCAAACGTGGTAAAGCCGCTGGACCGGATGAATTTAACAAAACAGTTTACCGCGATTACGCGGACACGCTCGATCCCATTCTCGCGACATGTTATATTAGATGGATTACGTGCAGCGTGTTCCCAGCGCCGTTTGGCGAAGCAAATATTCAGTGCCTGATAAATCTCCTGCCTCTACCTTGCAGCTTGATCATCGCCAGATCGCTTTCCTGACCAGTGAGTACAAGTTATTCACCAATATTCTTTCGTTTCGGGTGCGGCCATTGCGATCGCAACTCGTCCTGCCGGCTCAAGTTGGTTTTGTTCCGAATCAATTGATCCATACGGCTCTTGACATTTTCGCGGCGATACGCAAAGCTGAAAGTTGGACAGCGATCTACATGGAGCAATTGTTCTGCTTCTCGATTTTGCAAAAGCGTACGACCCATTGCAATATTTTTATATTCACTTTCGGCGCTGACGCGGCTTGGGTTTTCACCCCACTTCGTATCCGTCGTGGCAGCATTACACCGCGACACCACGTACCGTTTTCTCGTCAATGGACATCGATCGAGTCGACGTGCCGTTACTTGTGTAATCCAGCAAGGGTGTCCTCATGCGCCACTTCTCTTTATTCTTGCCCTCAATAGTGTCTATCGGGTGCCCAAAGCGCGGGAGGACATTCGAGGTGTACCTATTACATCTAGCGGTCGGACAACTGAGCTTAAAATCCCAGGATAAGCCGATGATACTGCTGTATACCTTTGCGATCGGTCTGCAAATTTTCCTGTTATCGCTATTCTCGATGACTTCGCTCGCGTTTCAGGTCTTTGGACTAATCCGGCTAAATCAATGGTCTTTGATCTGGACCCGCGTGGATCAGCGCAACCTGTAAGCACCTGTGGTCTCAATCTGCTGGCCTACGGCGAAGCTTGCCGGTATCTTGGTGTTCTGGTGGGATAGCAGGTTTCGGTAGCCGATAACTGGAATAAGTGCATTCGATCTCTTTGAAGTTGACTTGTAATAGCACGAGAGAAGACGCACACGGTGGAACAACGGGCTCAGCTCGCCAGTGCTATTGCTGCCCCAAAAAATATGTTTTTAGCACGGCACTGATGGCCTCCTCCCGCCGTAGTTACCAGGCTTCACAGCTTGATTATTGACTTCGTCCGGGGCGTCCGTGATGGCAAGCGGTCCCGACCGTGGATTCATCCTGAGATAGCTTATTTACTAATCCCTCGGCGGGTTTAGCGGTGCCTTGTACTCGGACGGAATTTATGACTATGGCAGCTACAGCAATTGGACATTAGGAATCTACAGCAATTGGACATTAGGCAGCTACAGCAATTAAACATTAAGCTACAGCAATTGGACATTAGGCAGCTACTCTTTCTTTGAGGGACTTAATACTTGTTAATTACTTGTGGGGAATGAGCGGGTCAGGTCCGGCTTACATCACGCCTTGTTGGACTGAAGAAAAGCATCCTCGATATCGAGCGACTCTATGGCAAACCGGGTCCAAATTGCCGGAAACTCTGTAGCTCGGCACGCTCGCCAAGGGGCGGTCAGAGAAGTATGCAGACTTGCCGTCTCTTTTACATCGATAGCTTCAGTAGTCTATAATGACGACATTGATTTCACCGTTAGTGTTCGGCGGGTGCTTGATTATCGACCGCGAGCCGGGATGCGTGCAAAAGTTGCGGCGTCGGGACGATTTGATCACCGATGGCTTGTCCACGCCACGCTCAAGGATACGTCGTGGCTGCGAGATTGACGGGGTACGGCGCACACATTGAACGGAGCCGCCTTTGTCCTTGGTTTGACTTACCTTGGTGAGGCAATGTCTTGGACGACTGTGTAGACTGGCATCGTCTTGTTCTATGCGACGCGTGACATGGCGATCCAGTCTATGGTGAAGAGACGGCATCTCGGGTCTTTCTGCCTCGCACTTCTTTACAATTTCCCGTCTGTGGTCTATCGGGTGCTGAACCCTGGGTCCCTAATTTCGTACTCAACGAAGGTGCACCAATTCCATGACTGGATTCTCACTAGTGAAGGTGCATCGCTTTTGCATTCCGATACGAGTATGGAATGTGGGTTGCAACCCGTCTCGTCGATGACGGCGTGCGATATCGCCGTGTCCTCATCCAGCGGGTGTCCTGTCCACTTTGGCGCGAATCCGATGATCACGCGGGTTGTCCACCTGTAGGCCGGTCGTCGATGGATACGGCCACATCGAAAGAAACTTTAACAGCTTATTTTCCGGTGGCGCTATATTGAAGGAACTAAACTTCTCGAGGAACGGGTTGCAAGGGCGGACTTTCACGTGATATCGGAAGGTTTACCATTGATCACGTGGAGAAAATTTGTCGAATTCGTGCGTCCTTTTCAAACAACGCTCAGACGATATATCGGCTGAAGAGTAACTATGTTCCGCTCTGGAATTGGGTGAAGCAAGATCTGTCGTGCCCCGTCCTTGAGTGTGTGGATGCTAGTCCAGATCTGGCAAGCCATATCTTTTGGACATGCACTTGCGCGCGTCGACACCAAAACTACCTCCTTCAAAGGTGGCAATGGCTTGGTACCTTCCGGGAGGATGTCTTGCATGTATGGGTGTTTGGCCTTGACCTCCCGGGGATTCCGCCCAACGCCTGGGCCGTTGTCAAGCAATCTATGAACACAGGGTCAGATTTATTGAAAACTCAGGCTGCGGTCTTCCCGACAGCTCGATAGATGTGGCGTTTTGTCGTACAATGACACTTCATGCCATCTAGGTCGAACGCCTCCGCCTCATGGACGGCTCGTCTCTATCACAGGATGTTCACACAGCTAGAGCCAAGACTATCTTTCGCCGGTCGGTTTAAAGGTTTTGCGGATCAACCTACCAGTCAGACATTGGGAAGGACGGGTAACTGTTTTCGCAGGTACGGTCGGCCTTGGCAGATACCCTCCTCCGCTACGACGGACCTTCTTTGCTGCACGTACGTCCTATCGAACGGTGGCCAGGAGTGCTCTACCTCGTCATTTTCGATTGAGGATCCCGCGAAAATTCAGGTCCAGGTGGAGCTCGATCTGTTATTGTCCTACTCCACGTTCCGACGCACGCCGCATGCGTTTTGTGGGTAGCGAGCGTGGCCTATGCCGCTGCCGATACTACTAACAATACTGCTGTATACTGAGGGCTTGTCCACGGTCTTCGGCGAGCAAAAGCCAGCGACTACTTACCCCTACATGTCATTGGGGACAATGCCCTTGTGCTTGCACATCTCCGAAAACGACATGCTCCACGCAAGCAACACTTGGTGCAGTTATTCACCGAATCTAGCGCCATCGTATACAATATTCATGTCTCCAGCTGGGAATATCATTATCGTACCTAGAACAAAATGGCGGACCGACCGGCGAATATCGCTATAGACACAGGAGGTTCGGTTAAAGCGCACGCTTCTTTTAACCCCGTTCTAGCCCAGGAGGCCACGACCTTCCTTGATTATGATGTCAATCATTGGTTGGAGACCTCTCAGGCCGAACAATACGTCATACAGGACCTCGTACTGCCACCGAAGAACCTGATCATCTCGCGACAGGAGTCTGCGCTCAGGCGTTCTGATGTTCGAGACCTAATGCTACCTAGTATATAAAGTAGCAGTCACCCCGGTAACCTTGTTGCCGGGTGACGGGATATAGTAGATCGTAAGCGTACCTAAATATACCTCACTTTCTCACTCACTTTAACAGCTCCAACGTCGTCTGCACTGTCGTCTTTCTGCTCCCACTTCTCCATCCGCGACTCCGAAGTGTCCGGACGGTACTGACCCCGTCGTGTCTCGGTAGTTCTGCTCCGATGCAAAGAACTGCGTGCGCTCGCTTTCAAACGCGTGATCTGCCACTTGCTCAACGTCTTGCGTCTCTTCGAAGCGATAGGCATGCGAGCCAAGATTGCTCAAGTGTCGAGCACGATTCCGTTCACATGGGCGAGAAAGGTCCCTCCCGCTATTGCTATTGACCCCACGTCCACGCGACGAGCGATACTTTACTTGAGGCGTCCCCATGAAAAGGCACGAACGAAACTGAAAGGGCTAAACGTCTTTTCCAGGTGCTGATGATGATTCTGATCTCTGGATGTCGACGTTATCAAGTACGACTTTACGCTTAAATAGAACATAACTGCAGAAGAAGAGTATAAACCATACTGATGAAACCGAACCGACTCTATTGATCCTTGTTTACCGGCAGGCAGGTAGTAGTCTCGCAAGCCACTACTACTGGCAGCTAAACTACCGAGCAAGTTACTTCTTCGGCTTCTTCGTGGCGAGTTGACGTTGGTAAGACTCGAGCTCTTTGCCTTCCAGGATGTCGCTGTCGCACTTTCATGGCCCGACTGACCCGGACGAGACGAGAAGACAGCCACCAAACGGCCAGACGTGACCTGATCGTCAATCTTCGAGTCAAGCTTTCGTGTTCGTTGCCGCTTCGCAAGATTACACAGCACGTGGCTCGACTTCTTCACCAATTCTTCTTCCTCAACCTCCTCGGCATTCTTCTTGACGCCGATCTTGACACCGTAGTGGGCCTCGTACTAGTGACAGAAAGGCATTGTATCCGACTGCGCGAGCGCGCGCTTCACAAGCGTCTTGGTACGCACGAGATCAATGTTTGGCGCATTATAAGTCACACCGAGGACACGCGTCTTGCGAGCCCACACTTCCGTGCCCCATGAGAAATTGCTCGTTCCACGTGCAGCGCGCGGAGCATGATGCTGCCACCACGCACACAAACGATGTGTACGTACTTACCCTCTCGTTTCGTAGCCGCTGCGGCTGACGGCCATGGTCGGAATGCATTTTCTTACGATACTGCTTGCGGCTATCGCCAATGTCATAGCACTTGTGACGCGAATCACTAGATACGCCTACAAGAAACATCTATACACTTCAATAGCTGGCATGGAAAAATCATTGCTCCCTCCGTCGGCGCAGCGCTACGGGTATAGCTGCGACATAGGCAACCCGCAGACTCGAATGCTGCAAGAGTGGTGAAGTAGCAGTTTCTGGGACTGGTCGAGAAGCAGAGCTCTACACCAACACAAGACAAAGAGAGGAGAGACTCGATACCAGACTCTCGACACATGCGAAACGTCTCTTTCATACGCGCAGCTCGACAGTGCCCTGACACGTAGTCACAAGGAGAAAAACTATAGGCGAGCTGGAGCGCTTAGCTATGGTGATTTCAACGAAACACTTGTGGATTCGGGTTCTTTATGTAGGTGAGTGTACGGCCAACCGAATTGAGCGGCTCACCGTTAGTTGGTCGATCATGAATTCGTTTCTTACCGGAATATACCGATGGAGAAAAAGCGATTTTATATCTAATGTATACAAAATCACTTCTCATTTTTGTATCAGCCATTTCATGGATGGGTTTTATTCAATTTGTACCACATAGTTTAGAAAGTAATAAATTTGGACAAAAAGATGAGAAAAGGATGATGCTTCAAGAAATGAAGAATTGGAAATTTACCTCTGATATATACTATACGCCCGGTTATTTCCATGCCTGGAATCAGTCGAATACATCCGCCCGAATTTGCACCATTTTCTTCTGCTTTCATCGATTCGTAACGCATATGTACAATTTGTCCAATGTCGTATTGCACGAAGAAAGTGGTGCGTCGACGTTTCAAACGTAGCCTACGAATTTTGTTTGCCTTTTTTTTATGTAAGACCACGTCGCTTGTGACTTTGGCGTCCAAATTGTATAATCTGACATCGTAAATGTCTGAAGGGGTATGTAACGGGGCACCGGCGACTACGTACTGGACTACCAGTACGGAGTTTACCTTTCACTGACAACAGTGAAGGTCAGTGCCCAGCTAGGTGTAAACCCTTACACAGAGGAAGGTAACGACTATGGCGAAGGCTCTAGTCGTGGTAGACGTAAAACTGTTATTCAATATAATTAAGTCCTATAGCTCTTGTGTCTCTGTTCGTCCTGACTTGATTATATCAATCCAACCAAACGTATGATGACATCTACTCACCACCCATTGCGGCCGTCTAGCAGCGATTGGTGGGTTGATAGCATCACGATATCAACCAAGAAGTAGACCCTTCGGTCATCCCAACAATATTATCATCCTTTGGGATATTGTTGAAAGGATATTCAACGTAATATTCTTTATTGACATTTTATCCTTAATGACATGTTCATGTAATGGGCTACCCTGTTTCAGGGAAAGCCCGTTACATGTCATTCATATAAGAATACATCAATGTGAATATTATTCAGGTCAATTACTTTCATCAATACTACCTGGCTCACGAAATATTGATGGCATATTACCTTCAAAGGTACTTTATTATAGACTTCTCCACTTATAGGTTGACATGGGTCATGCTATCGACCAAGTTATCCACCAGCTGCTGCTAAACGCGCGCAAACGGTGGTGCGCGAGAAACCTACATAGAAGGTTGGAGTCTGATTGAGTTACACTAATACAACGAGACCTGATCAGAAGAAACATAACTATAATAAATACAGCTCTACATTTCCCCCTACTCTGAGCTTCCTTAGCTCATCTCTCTACCTCGCGCTTCCTCAACGCTCACGTGGAAGTGGCGTCGGGAAGCATGCACCGTTGTGTCGAATAACAAACAAGGGCTTATCAGTGATAGATAAGATCGTGCGCCGTTAAATGATATGTGTAGCTCTACGCTCGGCCGTATCGGTTTACTTTGGATCAGATGAAATAGCGTCACAATACAATCAAACAGAGCGCACGCAATGCTCTATAAGGTATCTAAGTTCCGGTCCGAAGCAATATGAGATCGACTATTTCCAAACCTTATCAATTGAGACAAGGTCGGAAAGAACTGATGGTGATATTTTGGTGCAATTACAGGTGGTCACGTGGATGCTTGAGGACACATATAGTTTATTGATCATAGCACACAACATTGATGGAATATTGTGGTGGTCGCAAATTAGAAGCTACTTTAGGTGAAAGTGATGATGTTTTTGATCCGGATATTGCAGTACGAATGCTGTGAAATAGATACAATACTGGCATCTGCACTGGGGAGGACATAATGCACGCAAGCAAAGCAGCTTAGCATCTCGGCTCACATCAAACACTTTGCGCGCAGCAATCCGACCTTCTGTGTTCTACATTGTAAATCAAGTCGACGTTCCAACGAAGACATAGATCTATGGTACTCGCGTCGTGTATTTTTCCATGCCGTCTGTGGCAAAAGCGCCATCGCGTCAACAAGTGTCATGTTGTAATTTTATGTGATCAATGGAGAAAATGACTGATTTGGCATCATCGCCGGAAATTCTCTTCGTGATGCTGCACTACAACACTTCTCGAAATGTTGACACAGCAATCGGGTGCATTAATGTGATCTCCAGCATTTGTACATTCGATCATATAGTACACATCTGTGTTGCATTTACTTTTGCTTCAATTGGTGCATGTTTCTAGATTGTACATCTTGAGGTGCACTATTATATTTCGCAATTATCCGGTGCATTCTTTGCTTTTTCATTTTTACAACATCCTTTTGCGTGCATTCAAAACGAGATTCAGAGCGAGGACTTCTCTAGCAAGCCCCTGCAGCTGTATCATCTTGCGTTCTACGCATCTATTTACGCGACTATCTCGAACAATTCAGTATGCTCTGCATGAGCGCTTGTTGATGATTAAATTATGCTTACAACGTTTCCATAAAATCTTCAGCGCGACTTTTTCCGTATCAATAGATAGTTCGGCTCAGCGACGACAAATGCGTGTATCAAATGATATGCAAAAAAGCGTGTGTATATCTGCCCTCCCTGAACGTGTTTGTGGTCGTATCATGTCAGCCGACGAACTTTCCTTTCGTCTCGAGCTCTTGTATACGTCTTGAGAACGACATGCACATTGAGTACAAGTCGTTCTACAATGCTGACGAACGCAAAAGAAGCAGCATAAAGTCAACGTTGCCCTGTAAAAATAGATATTGGTAGTGTCTTTTCTCCATCTCACTTTGATCATCTTCGACCATAATACAACAATGTTGGGTCTCAAAAAGAGGCGAAGAGAAGCCCACGTATCATCCGAAACACTTGTCACACTGATGCGTTTGGTGGATCACGAAGTCGAAGCGCCGGAAGATACGGCAACCCAAGTCGCGATAACCCAGGATCAACTAGACTGGGGGAAGATTAGTCGGAGCAATCACGGTGGAGGCGCTCGTGGACAATAGTATGTTGTGATGATCGCCTGCTTCGACGGCCACACTGAGCACATCATCTGATTCACTCGACGGACCGCCAAAAGAAGCGACTACCAAGAGCTTATCTGATGCTCGAGGGAATGAAACGATCGGGCTTGCAAAAATGGTCGTACAAGATGACGGTGGCTGCCGAGACGACTTGGTACCAAGGGCTGGTCTCGGTGGGTACATAGACATCAGCAGAGACGGAGGAGCTATAGCCGTGAATGCCAATGTGATTTGAATACGATCACAAGAAGAATAACGCAACACGGACAACGCGGGGAGCGTGGTATGTCCCGAATCTTGATTCGGAGCGGGTCCTGAGACGCAACACCAAGAATAATACAGCTCAAGTGCTTGATTTTCCTTAACAGCTGAACGGGTCGTTAATGTCATGCTGACCATTTTCGGTTTAGGGACCGCAGATTGGATCGAAGGCTTTTGCGCACCTAACTTTCATAGACGACGCTCGAGCCGAAATGTGCCGATCAACCGGCCCAGGTGTTGTTGATTGTGTATTCTTGCCGATGACTGATTGTGTCATTGGTTAAAGAGAAACGTTCTCGGAACGTTGGTCGATCCAGCGGTGATTGACCTTGTTTTCCGATGTGACTGATTGCTGCATGATATTCGTGGAAACTTTGATGTATTAGTTGCTAAGCGCGAATGTTTCCCCAGACATCTTGGATCAGGAGCGGGCAAAATCTTGCGCTAACTGGATTTGAGGTTGATGTTAACATCTTAATAAGCTCGGGTATGAGCACGCGATGGCTCGGGTGGGTTTGGTCCGGTATCGCTGCATGTGTAACGGGACACCTCGCTTTTACTGGTAACAGTATAGCCTCACCTGCACAGATGAAAGTGTAAGCAGGTGCTCTCCTTCTCTCAAGCACACGCATGTGCAGAGGAAACGAGTAGAATCACGTGAAGACGTAAGTCAGATGTAAAAATGGTATGGATAAGCTCCATCTACTATATCTCGTTAAGCCTTTCCCAACCAAATTTATATGCAACCACGAACTGGAAATATCTGTTAGTCACTCATTGCGCGTACCCATCACTGTTGTGAATTGCATTGGTACCATGCGCCTTCGTCCGCATTGTCTAGATTGAAATTTTGGATAAGATCGTTCAAGCAACCAATATCGCGGTCTAGGATTCACCGTTAACTTATTCATTAAAGCGGTATAATGAAGATTCAGTGTACGCACAAGCTCCCCAGAAGCAGAATAGGGCGACTTTAGGATTGGGTTGTTCATGATGAATTTGGTCTTTACCAATCCTACTGATGTCTTGATGTAAAGATTAACTTTTTTTGATAGCTCCTAATTTCTCGCGGTTTGTTGCCTAAGATGCTTTTAAGCTAAAGCTATTCGCAGATGATCAAAGTCTTGCAAAATAAATTAAATTAAATTGCAAAATCTGAATGATAAAAGATTTTCATTATATGCGTAGCAACTGTTCGTATCTTGATACAATATCGCTAATCATATGTAGGAAGTCACTCCGTCCCGCTTCAGTTCAAATTAATTGACCTTATGTTCCTAAAGTAAATGGAATTTCAGAAATATAAGCATTACTATACTTGTTTCGAACGCGAGAAATACAGGATGTATGTTTTTATGAAATGAAAGTGTAAATACCGTTATACATATGCAAGATCTTCG